GGCGGTGGCGGCCGTCGAGAGGGACGACCAGCAGGAGGACATGCTGGAGGGCGTGGCGGTGCCGGAGACGCTGATGCTGGACAGGTACCGCCTGGTCGTGATCGCGGCGGCGGCGGAGCAGGCGGCGTACACGGCGTCCCTCGTGGCCTTCGCACGGCAGACCCTGGGGGCCGTGCGGATACCGCTGGCGAGGGCGGACGAGGAGCGCGTCCGGGACGCCCTGATGGTGCTGTTCGAGACCGAGGATGTCACCAGCGCCGACATCTGCGCTCAGGTACTGTGTGTATGCCTTGTTGATTGTGTGAGATTATTGTTGAAAGAAGCGGCAGGTATGTATGTATGCCTGTGCCTTGCTATGTTGAGATCATCGTCAAAGAATGCGGGTTAGGCACCCCACTAAAGAATCGCAGTCGAGCCGAGCGCGCGCCCGACCACCCGCGCGCGTTGGCGGCGTGGGCGGTTCTCTCGAACTGTTGCTAGAATTGATCGTGTTGAGCTCATATTGGCTTTCGTCGGACCCCCCCAAGAAACCAAACTCGAACGTCCGTCCTTGCCCTCCCTCCCCGCCGAATACCCCTTGCGGGATGTACCGACGCCATTTGCGAACCGGTACATCACGCATTCAACAAAACAACTTTCAACAACAAACAACACACTACTTGCTATTTAGGTGGCCGAGATGACACGAGTGGTGGCCGTGAACGCGGGCAAGGTGTTGCCGGCCAACCAGCTGTCGGTCCTGTCGGCGCGTTCCCGGAACGTGCTGACGACGGGTGACTGCCCCGTGTACAAGATCTTCCTCCGACGAACCCTGGGGCTGCTGCGAGACACGCTGGTGGAGGGCGGCATGTCGGAAGAACGCTTCGTGGAGGCCTTGCGCAAGGTGGGTGACCCTATCCCTAGCCCTAACCCTAGCCCTAACCCTAACCCTAACCATATCCCTAACCCTAACCCTAACCCTAACCCTAACCCTAACCCTAAGGTGGGTAGGTGGGTAGGTGTGTAGGTGGGTGTGGATGGCAGTGTGTTACACCGAAGTGGGGTTCGCGGGCGCCAGGGTGGGGGCGACGGCGGGGACCGCCTTCTCGAGGACTTTGCAATTGATGTTGCAATAGAGAGGGGGATTCGTAAGCCCTAACCCTACCCCCAAAACCAACACCCGTAGGTCAAAACCAAGCTCATTGTCCTGACGAAGGCTACAAGGAGGCAGGGGGGGGAGGGGAGTTGCGAGCCGGGCGAGTTGTCTTGTGAAGTGTGCGAGTGGTGGGCTGGTGGGCTGGTTAATGTCGGTCTGTAGATGATGTGGGAAGCCCTACTACTCCAGCGCAGTACAGCAGCAGTACACCGCCCGTGTGGCGCTTTTGTTGTGTACATCTACATTGTTTTGTCTGTCCTCCGCCACCTAGCTCTGGGTTTCGTCTTGAGGTAGGTTTGTTGTTTCGGGCCCACCCCCCCTTCCCGTCCTTGCAAGTGCTTCAGTTCAATTCAGTGTTTTTTTACTCCACATCCAAACCACCAAAATTACAACAAAATATTTTTTTTGCAGGCGGGGCTGTTAGACTACAAGGACTTCCTGCTGCAACGAGTCGTGAGACCACTGGTTGTCATCGAGCGCCACAACGAGGCCGTGTTCGCCACGTTTTACAACGAGATCATCCCGTTGGCGCTCAAGACTACGACTCCGCAGGCGATGGGCGCTCACGCGAGGGCCCTCAACGTGGACTAACATATATGGTAGAAAGAAGCATGTACATGTATTGCGCGTTCTCCGGAGTACCTAACAATTACCATACTTCATGCGTAGTAGTGCGATATGACACGTCCGCAGGTCGTAGTAACGACGATGGGATGCGGAGCGAGAGAGAGAGAGAGAGAGGGAGTCGAAGAATCAGGGTGCCTGCCGGCTGCTCTCTTGCCATGTTTTTTTCATCCAAGCAGAATGAAGTTGAGGGGATGCGATGAAGATTTTGTCCGTCCATCCATTATTTTGCGACAAGCAGATTATGTGAGCGTACGGGCTGACTCCCCCCCATACGCAAGCAAGCAAAGCAGGTAGGCAGGCAGGCAGGCAGGCAACGAATGTTGATGGAGGGTGTCGAGATAGGGGGGAGGGGGGGGGGCGTGGACGGTGTTTAGGGTATTTTAGAGGTTTGCAGAACAAAATGGAGGGGTTCCCGGCTGCGAAATCCTAGCTAGGACCGCCAGGTTATTTTTCCCTGTGAAGAAATCAAGTGCACGACCCCGCCACTATGCGGAGTTGCACGTGTAGACGGACGACAAGCGGATCGAACGGCGAAATGTATTTTGCACCGACCAGCAATAAGATTTTTGCTGCATTGGCGAAGGTGGGGCCGGGGCGAGGGGGGGAGGGGGTGCTCTGATGAGAACCACGGACAGAGGGGCGGGGGTTGCCTCCCGGTGACGGTCGACCCGCAGCCCCAATAGGGCACGCGCCCGTTGGAGGTGGGATCCTCAACGAAGGAAAGGGTGTTTCATGGTCTTGTGTTTGTTTAGATTTGATTTTTCGTTGTGGTGTTTATCCTGATGGAGCTTGTGCTTAGGGATTGGATGGGGGGGGGGGGGGAGTTAGACTCGATGATGGATTGATTTGAGCGTTCAGACGGAGAGGAGGGAAGGGACAGAAGTTCGTGCGCTTTATTTTGTGCTTCCGTGGTGGTTCTCCAAACCAGCCGTGTCCGGTTGTGTTTCGTTTTTTGTGTCTTCTCTTTTTTTGTCACCGTCTCTGCGGCGTCGCTAGCGGTCGGTATTGATAATACCGTGTTTCGTTGAGAGTCCCTCGCAGCGGTCTGGGGAGGAGGGCAAAGGGGACTTCGCTCGAGATAATTTGGTTTTGGGGGCGGGGAGGGGGGGACGATGCCCCACCGTGCTTGGTTCGGGTGTGGAGGATGTGGTATGATGCCGCAGCAGCGATACGCATATGCATACCTATCGCTTCGTCTCAGGAAGGGGGGATGGCGGCAGATGTAAGATACGTTTTTACCGTGTGGGTTCAAGGAGGTAGATGAGCGGGATGTTGCATGCATGCGTGTCTATGAAAATAAAGAAGTACTACTTTGTATGCATGAAGGCGGGGCCGGGTTCATAAAAATAATATCACAGCAGCAGTGATGACTGCGAGGCGAGAGGCGCAGCCAGTCCAGTAGTATGCTATCGTTTTTTTGGTTTGTTTTTCCTCACTACGTATGAATATTTTGGTGTTGGCTTTTCCTTGTGCTGTCCTGTCCTGTTTTAACTGTGTGCGTATTGCGTGGGATTTGTACACGCCAAGCTTTTGATACGATTGGGCCTTGGGTATGGCGTCGTGGCTTCAGGACACACGCCGAGTGTTGGGGGGCGGGGGGTGGGGGTGGGGGGGGGGGATGCATCGACGTTTCGGAAGGTTTTTATTTAGGTTTTGGTGGTGCCCGTCGGAAAAACACCGGTCGGTGACAAGAGTGCCTGCCCATCGATGTTAAACATCGGTGGAGAATGACGCCAGATGACACCAAATGAAACCCTTGCAGCGGAACTATGTAGCGGTTCATCAACAACTATGTGCGAATATTTATGGTTCTGTCGCCTCTCCGTGTTCCTGCCACCTTGTGTCTAACGCTACGCGTATCTTTGCATACACCAGAAGTCGTTTGGTTTGTCATGTTGACTACTGCATGACCGACGAAAATTCCTCCGGCGCGGCAAAGACGACGGCGAATTTTTTTTTGCGCCCTTTGCTGTTGACCCATTAATCGCTGCTGATGGCGTGTTGGCATGATCATGCATATACCCTTGTGCTGAGCATTGACGACCCTTCCCTCATCCCTCTCCCTGCCCCCACTTCCTTCTCTATGCACGCCGCATCGATGAACGAGCGCGATCGAGCTGTCCGATCGATGAACGCGATCGAGCTGTCTCTTCTTTGATAGGGCGAGAGGAACCACATTGTTGTGCGAAAGGCGAGGGTTCCAACCCTGCAACCATACCAGCTTTGATGTACAGGACATAACACACCCAACTCCCCCAGTCCTCTTCTTCTACACTGCGCGAGAGCGCACACAAATCAAATTGGCAAGCTTGTGTCACCGTTCCCGTGTCAACGTTTTCGCCGTTGCGAGGACATTATACTTGTCTCGCTGTTTGCACGCTACACGCCCCCCCCCCCCCCCCCC